ATTGTGCTTAGCTTACTTCTGTTGTTATTAGAGTACAAAAATGGATGGAAGTATCTGTGCAAGCTATTCGAAATGATTCATGGTGTTGAAAGGATACGTAATTGCCAAGAAATGTATCTGAAACTTTTTCATAAAGAGGTATCGGACTTTTATATCCTCTGAACCGTGAAAAACGACACCAGCTAAACTACTCACAATGCATTTAATCAAACACCATTATTTTGATATTAGTCTTGCAAATTACATATCTTTCATGCTTAACTTTTTTTCAAATTTCAAAAAAAAAAAAATTATATTGATATAGTGACTTTCAATATCTACTGTGCTCCTGTGTTGAATGTGTTTTTCCGAAAAGTTGCATAAATTCTCGTCTCAGTTTGCTTGCATGAAAATAATTGAAGATATCGCAGCCGGTAAAATTTATGGATGTCACTGTTTTATTGATCAATTAGTTGAAATGGTACTATTTGAACTGAAAGAAATGTGACATGCATAACATTAACCTTTATCATTTGGTTAGTTAAAGACATAGTTTCACACTCACTTGCACACTGTTTCGTCAAAAGTAAGAGAAACATGTTATTTAAATTTTTTGTGTAATTCATGGCATTTGAATAACTTGTCACATAAAATTTTAGAATGTGGCTGGCCAATAGTGATGTACATACATTTTCATCGATTCTTTCTAAATGATACAAAAAAATGTGTTAAATAATGAAAAAAATAATTTTTTAACTGATTCTCCCCTTAATATAAACTCAAAGCACACTACTCGATCTATGTATCTTTGCATCAATACCGTTCGTATGTTGTTTTGTAGTTGTTAAAAATCTATAAAATCAAACCGAAGAAGAAGCAAAACAACAACGTTGTATGTTTTAATCATTGCCGTACACATTGGAAGTCTGCTTTGCTGACTTCATTTGAAATAATAAAAAAACATTACGTTATTCCAAACTCGGTACAATTCTCAGAATAATGTACATTAATTTCCAATAAACGGTACTGTTTTGATCAATTGATATTTAAGCGAAATGAACAACAATATGTGTAAAAAACCATTTTGCATTTGCTTTATGAGTTGAACGTTAGTGTATTCGATATGAGCAACGCTGACGACATTTGGATTTATTTGTAAAATTATTATGAGCATGGTAAGAGGCTTGAAAAAAAAATGATGAAAATGAATCACTTTCAAACTTTTTAAAGCATTCAAAACAAAACAAATAAATGTTGTTTTAGTTTGTTTCCATGTCATTCATCCGGCAAATATAAATCTTTGTAAAATCAGCCGTCGTTTTGAACTTCATGCAACCATTTGCACATATATACAGAGAGAGAGATTAAGTATAAGAAAAGAAGAAGAAGAAGAAGAAAAAAACAGTTCAAGAAAATAGTAATAAATGTTGCAGGAAAGTAATTTGAATAAATTGCGGAAAACGGTTTAAATATAGCTGCAATAGTTAGTACGATTGGATATGCGTTAAAATAGAGATCGAGCGCATTCGAGAGAGTTGTTCAAAATTAAGTGGAAGCTTTAGAAAGAGTGACGCACAACATAGAGAAAATAAATAAAATAAACAAATAAAATGCAAATAAACAATAACATTTCACATTAAGGCCCAGAGACTATAAAATGTTGCCATTATTACGGCTATTACAAACATTCGAGCAGTCTCACTTTACTTGGGCGAAATCTACATGCAAACATGCATCGGTGGCAAACAGCATTATGTGCAGAGAGCACATCTCTCATAACAGCATGTTTTTTTTTTTTCAATTTTAAATGAATTTTCACACAGAGCCGTTCAGCCGCTCGCGCGCTGGTAATCCAAGCTGTTGTGGTCATTTAGTGCAAGCGTTTATATTCTGAATGAATCTCATTTTACGTCGCCGTATACAGTGTGTAATAATGTGCAGTCTGCAGACTACTCATTTTTTTTCCGCACTTCGCATGGTGTGTATTTTTTCACCTCTATACTGTTGTTTCTGATATATTAATGTTAGCAATTGACGTATTGACAATCTTATTTTGGCGTCAACGTCAAACGTGCAATAATACTGAGAAATTAAATGGTTGGAATTTACGTTAAACATTGCTGCGTCTTACTTACGAACTTCATTAGTGTCGAACGACGACCAATACATACAGACGATTCGCCAATACTTGGATTACTTCAAACGATGTTCATTATTTGATGCACCAGTTTTTTTTTATGAACAAATGTTGGCGAAACCCTTAAAGTATATCATTGTCGATAGTTATAAGTTAGGCCACGAGTCTGTGCTTAAACAACATGTTAGTGCATGACCCAACATATAGTTTGTGACCATAAAACAAAACAAAACAAAAAAAAATCGCTCATTTGAGTCGCGTTGACATAAAACCTATTTCAATTTCAATCAATAGAGAAAGAGAGCATATCATTTTACACGACAGCATTCAATCACCCGAAAAAGACCAAGCAAAAAACAATTAAATAAATAAATAACGGTGTGCCAATCGCATTTAATGTCATCCATTTCTTTAGCCACGCATAAAATAAATATGATGGATGTAATTTAATTTTGAATTAGATTTTGTGTAACAAACGCATTAACTGATAATGTTTAACATATCGAAATCGCTCAACATTAAAACATTTATGCAACGCACACTGAAGGTAACCGATGAGCTGTCAGACCGATTGCATATGATTTTGACGTGAGTAATAACACAATCGGTGTCTGTCACAATCGAATGATGACACAAAAAAGCGATCATCATTATTACAGTTTCAAAAAAGATTTCAACGGTAGCCCAACTAATTTGGGGAAATTAATACTTTTCAGTGACAGAAAATCATTTCTTTCGACAGTGTGTTGCCGTTCAATTTTATTTAGTTTGTCAATGTATTATTGTCGGTTGAATTGTGTGAACAGAATGTATCGTGTTACGCTCCTACGCACCCCTCAACAAAATGTAAATGAATTGATTTGAATATGTGTGAGACATGTGCAGCATTTGTACCACTATATCATTTCAATTTCCGCTTTCAACGCCAAAAATAAATGCAATGCATCTTTTCCAAACATGTGTCTGACTTCTGACACGAGCTGTACACATAGTTGCATCTATCGTATAACATGGAATTTTCATGCTCCGTTTGTCATTCAACAGTCAGAGAGTTATAATTTTATTGAAATGTTTTTGTTATGAGTTCTCAAAGGATATGTTATTGAAAGAATGACACCACAGAATTCAGCAAAAATCAAGTCAAGTTATGTTAAAATACCTCCTTCTTTCTCTGCCACACACTACATATCTCGTTCATGTTGATGTGCAAAATTTAAATGAAAAGTTACTTGAGTTTTAATTTTATTTTGTTCACAGTCCGTAATAAGCTTAATTAAACTTGTTGAAATTGAATCTAAAAAAAAAGAAGAAATTATTTAAAATAATTACCAACTTTGTAATGTTTTCCATTTTCAGGATGCATTTGCGATGAAAGCAGAATATCTTGATGTTTGAACATTCTATATTCAATGCAGTAGTAATAGTTTCATTTGAATGTGAAATATATTTTGGTAGTGAAGAGTAAGTTTTGGTCGCTCCTTGCATCCCTCTTGATGGGTGGTTCTATTTCGGAAAATTCGATTTGGAAAATCATTGTTGTTGTAATCGAATAAATGAATAAAGACAGAGCGAGTTAGCATTTCCCGTCGGAATAAGAGCATGTGTTCTGCAAACGAATCTGGTAGCGCACACACCAAAATCCAAAACTAAATCGAAAAGTGTGAAAGGCACACACACACCACGACTATTTTCAGGCAAAATACATTTTTGTTGAATTGAATTCGGCACAAGTGAGTGAAACACCAATGAAACGAAAAGAGCATTTGAGCATAAAGTGTAACATTAGTTTATGTACAATGTACATCATAGACATACGTTCAATTTACCAAAATGCTTGTCAATAGTAAGGGTATGCATGTTGTGTTTGTGAGACAGAAAGAAAGAGAGGTGCATGAGTAGCTGCTCATCATTGGATATATACGTCAAACATTCAGTGTTCAATGTTTTGCATTTCTTCCACAAATGTTCGATCCTCTTCAAAAGTTAATCAGTCCATGTGTGCGCGCTATAGGCCCGCATCGAAATGCAACGACAGCATATTGAATGTACGACAACATATTGAAGTGACGTTTTCGATAACATAAAAAGAATGAATTCAAGATGAGAGAATACAGGAGAAATTAGTCGCGACACTAAATAAAGAAATAAAAAGAAAAATGATACATACAAGATGAATAAACTAACCTATTGAAATCATATACATTTCGATTTGGAAAGTAAGAAGCACACAACATTTCGTTTAAACCCGCTGCGATGCATCAATGTATGTGTGCGTATATCAATTTTGTTTCGAGTGTGTGCGTTTTCGGTTGAATTTATGTGTATGTGTATGTACATCACATCAAAACTGTATGCAACTCTATAGTATATGTGTTTGTATATATACATGTATATGGATACGCATATGGGATAATTTAAAGTACGAGAGCCAACTTATCTGGTCATATTGACGTATTCCATATACTCGATCGCACACTTATGATGAAACGCATATTTGTGTGTTCATTGCCCATGCTTGTGTGAGTATGAACAACAAAACAAATTCGAAACATTTAGAGCACCGGATCTGAATCATTCAGTCACAAAATGTTCAATTTTAAAATGAATTAAATTTCGATATTATTCACATTAAAAACAAAATTCATTTTGAAAAACGTTGTTCAATTGGTAAATATTTAACCAAAAAAAAAAAAAATGTTTATCGTGAAAAATGTCGACCGGTGTGCATACCCCTCAAACATTTACACAACCTAAAGATTTGTTGTGTCTGTTTTTTGTGAATCAAACCGAAACGAAATGGCATCAAAACAGAAAAGAAATATGTGCACGGTTTGAACGAACGAACCGACAAGCTCAGCGCTCAGTTGATTGTTGACCGTGATGTGAAGCTGTGTGACCGATGTGTGCGTGTGTTAAAATAAATTTAGTTTGCGGCATTTATTTCTCAATAAGTTTACAATCGAAAACGTCAAAATAATTGATTTTCAATCAATTAAACTATTCGAATCAAATGAAAAATGTGTTTAGACTGAATTGAATGCAAATCGTTGAATGCAATCGTTGAATTTCACTTTTCAATCAGCAGTGTTCATTGCACGGTGCTTAACAAATTCTAAATTCATTGAATTGAATTCAACCAGAAACAAACAAAATATATCATAAAGGGAACACTTGAGATGAGATTTTTTATAAAAGAGAGTTTATAGAAAACGGTTCAGACACATGGAAATCGTGTGAGTGATTCATTGGAGGGGAAATACGGTTTTTTTTCTTTCATTCGAGAGCGATTCACAATGTGAATGTAATGCAAGTGTCAAGTGAATGAATGGTCTATGAATCTCATAGAAATTGCGAATTAAAGCCTTTTTGTTTTGTTATGAAACGAAATTGAATAGTGAACAGGACTTTATATTTAGATCGCCCGTTGAATAGTCAACAATCACAAAGCAGCAGAAAAAAAAACGTTCAAATAGCCCAAGCAAATGGTGTTTTCTAGTTGAACAAAATTCAGTGTATGCCACACAGCCAATGGATTTATGCTCTGAAGAAAAAAAATGGTAACGTAAATTCTGTTTATATTTTCAATGCTTTGAGCACATTTCTATTTTGTCTAGCATTTTCATGTTGTTTGATTTTATTTATCTATGGCCGGTATTTGTCTGTAGTGCTGTCCGAAAAAAAATTGCATCGTACCTGAGTATAGTCAATTGTCTTTTGAAAAACAACTGCACAAATAGAGAAATCTTATTACTTGCTCTTTTGTGGGCAGTTGTTTTAAAATCATCGGCACTTTTGCACGTCACAAAACAATAAATAAAGGAAAAACGTACTGGACAACATGTGCTTGTAAAATTATTTATTGCAGAGACATTTACTGTTTTGATGATGGTGCTATATTTGAAGAGCAATGAGACATTTTCAAATTTTAGTTTCGATTTAGATGAAACATCTTCAGTGTCGACGATCTTTCTTAATGAATACCAGAGTGTGATTTTAAGAAAATTTTGAGAAATGTCACGTTTCATGTCAAACAATGTGCACTAAAAATGCAGCCAAAAGTATATGTAAATAACATAAACATTTCCACTGTTAAGGATGCCCAATGTTTTCTTTGGTGTCATTTTTAATTTTCCTTTCGTGGAATGTTGTTCATTGCCATCTTTGTTTTAAATTTTTGTTCTTTTATCGTTGTTCCATTTTTTTTCTCTTGTGTTCCTTTCTCTCATTCGGTTTTAACGTCTTTTCAGAATCGAAAAACTTGTTATCACTTGGCCGATCTTTATCGGTACGAAAATCTAAGAAACATAAAATCGATCATTGGATAACATTCGTTAAAAGATTGATGCGATCGAATATGAATAATGATTTTTTTTTGAACAGTTGTTCAAACACTGATAATATTAAATAGGTGTCATACACATTCGTCCAAAATCCAAATGAACAAAGAAAAAGAAAAACACATCTGTACGCAAGGGCTTCCAAAATATTCAACGAATAAATCTTCGATATGTACTCAGTTTGGACAATCATTTCATTTCAATTCCGTATTTGTTCAAACTGCTATGTAATTTATTTGAATTCGTATCGACTTCAAATCGAAGTCCATAAATTATTCAATTCTTGTTTTTTTTTTATAATTTTGGTGTGTATATCTTATTTCTTCTTCATCTTTTTTCTTGATCTTTCTGACTTATTCATTCTTGTCTGCCTTTGTTTGCTGGATGTTTCATTTTTTCTTGTTCATTTATTCGATATTCGAATTTAATTAAAAAAATATTTATTTTAATTAATAGCCAACAAATAAATACACAATTCATATAAATGGCAATACGAATATGAGACTTAATGAAGAAAATAACAATAACAGCAGCAATTTTAAGTACGCGATTAAGTAGCAATTGATCAAGATAGTTATGGAGTGAAAATCGCGGATCGTTTTCAATCAAGATTCACCTTTTCTTTTTCGCTTTCTTTTCTCTCTCTATCTGTCTCTCTCTCGCACATTTTCCGGCTAAATTATTCGGTATCTCTTTCAACAAAAAAAAAAACACAAATCAAACGAGAGCTAAATAACAGTTTCAACAGTAAAAACCCACAAAAACAACAACGAGAAAATCGTGCAAAAAAGAGACACTGAGATCGACGCGATAATTTCAGATTCAACATACACCGTGTGTACATTGGTAAAATCGTGTATTGTCGCGCGCGCGCGCCTATGTTCAACGCAAATACTCAAATTCGATGCAGAAAACGATGCTGTCTTTATAGTTGTTGTTGTGGTGGTGGTGTGCCATCCAAAAATTGTATCTGCCTTGTTTGTTTTCCAAAACAAACCGTTGCCCGTCTCATCATTGACTTTAGTGGACTGTGTGTGTGAGCTGCCAAATGTTCAGCGTACAGCTCCGTAATGAACAACACAAATCTGGCAAATAAAATTAAAACGAAAGAAACTTAAGTGAAGATGAGAAGAAGAAAAAAAAAACAATGTGCAAGCACGGCAGATATTTCTATGTATTTCTACATTAAACCATAGCACACACTCCGATATTCACGATCTCACCTGAAGCTGCATTTTCAGATGATAGTTAGCGATACGATATGCTTGTTGTTTCATTTGTCGTTTCACTTTATATATTTTCGACTTCGTATTAAGTTCAATATGAGCTGTTAGCAGTTGTTGTTTTTGTTTTCATTTGGTGTTCCATGAATGTTGTATTTTCTTATTTTTGGTTTTATGCATGCAGCTTCGAATGTTGCTGTTCTTTTTCTATTTTATACGCCATCTCTTTTCGTTCCACATTCAACCGTATTCCTTCTATATGCGTGTGTATATGTATCTGTTTGGCTCATGCTGCCACATTTGGTTCAGCTTACGTGTTATTTTAATTTTTTTTTTCATACTGTTGTCTTCTACCAATAAATTAAAACATAACCATCTTAACCGTCTCATACAAAAAAAATATCTCTGGATTCCCAGTGTTTTGTTGTATTCGCTCACGTTGATTTTTTTTTGTCTCCTTCTCTCCTCTTGTCCGTTTTATTTTTCAGTCGTGCTGTGAATTACAGTGCCAAATAAAAGACGAAAGAGGAAAAAAACGAGTGGAATTCATCGTTTAAATTTACACAGAAAAAAAACGAGAAGATAGAACGCTTGGAACTCAATATATTAATATACGTATTCCTTTATTTATTCGTTTCTTGGCTGGCTTTCGTTTTAATCAGATATCTTGTTGTAGTGCCGTTTTACTTTGTCGTTTTTTTCTTTGCTTGTAAAGGGTGTTCCAAATAAGTGTGCACCAAATTCAAATGAAACAAACGAAAATTCGATATTTAGCCATTTAGTGCAAATGGTATACCATTTGAAATCAAATTAAAAAAAAGAGTAGAATCCACCACATTTGGGTTTAGTGGGCATCATTTGCAAAAGATTGGTTGAATTTCAAATTACCGTTTGTTTTATTTCAATTAAAAGTTCGGACACTTTTATTCGAACACCCTATATCTTTTTTTTATTCATTCGATACTCGTTCGTGGTATAGGTTGGTGATTATACCTTATTCTGCTTTCCTCATGTGCCAATATGCGCTAACCCGCGCGCGATCCTCTTGCATCCGTTAAACAAATAACGCATAACTCAATGTAATTTGATAATCACATCTATTTATTCAGGCACACTAAAAATTTACTTAATCGTCAGTAAATAAAATTTTGAATGCGCCAATCAATTTATTTCGCTCTTTGTCTCTCGATTGCGGTTTTTATCTTATATTGAAATTCATTCACAAGCTAAATTCAATGTTTTTTTTTTCGTTCCGCCTTCAATTTTTGGACCCAACAAGAAGAAATCAATTTAAAAATAAACGTTTTGATTTCTCTTTAAATCATTTTTGGACTTGCATCAATTTGCACATCACATGCAATTGAAAGATGTACTATTATTGCTTCTGAAGTTTGACATCCAATGGTGAGATAGTTACTAATTTCAACATTTTTCTCCAAATGTATATTTTAATTAGTGTAAACTTCATCTCCCTAAAAAGGAAAGAGGAGGAAGGTCTTCATATTTTTCGCTAAAAATCTTAGCAATTTGAAAGAATTTTTCCCTCAAAATCCTTGCAAAGGAAAATCCAGTCTCCATGGTATTTAAAATGACTATGCCTTGTCAGAAGCTATGACTGCAATTTATTTATTACCAGCAAAGTCATTCTGCACATATCTTTTATGCTGATCATTCAAAAAAAAAAAAGAAGTCCCAATCGTTTTTTCGAGGAAATTTAAAATGTGCATGGTATGCTATAAGAGAAATCGTTATTCTTTGTCTCAAACACCTTAAACAATTCATTCATTTTTATTAAATTTTGTGCAATTCAGGAAAACGACATTGAAAGAAGATAAATTCTCTTCATTTTTACATGTCTGTACAATATGTATGTGAATACTATGAAAAATGCGTTCTTTTGCTAGAATGTGAAAACGAAAAAAATGGCATTTTACAATGAAAAAGAAGACAAAAAAAAACGAGAAAAAAGCGACAATATATTGGAACGTTTTTTTTGTGTAAAATTCACATGGCAATGATATGTGATTTGAAAAGATTTGGCAACTATGAACTGATGAGAATCCAAAATGCTCTTATTTTTCATAAATTCGAAAATGTCAACTGACCAGCAATAAGTTTATTTTAGCTTTTGTATTTCGATTGATTTTCCATTCATATAACATATTTGCTATACATTCCTGGTAGTTTGCTATTGCATCAAATATAATTAAATAAGTTTACAATGCTTATTCAGAACTATTATGCAATGAACACATGTGGCGTGAAAATCCATATTGTACATTTATAGAACACATACATAACTATGCATAACACAGTATGTAAACATTAGTGAAATGGCATTGTTGATTGAAATGTAAAATAATTAAATGGTATTTACTTCCGATTCCACGGCCGAGAAATGATAAAAAAAAGTGAGAACAGAACATGTATTTTTGTGATTCTCTGTCTTTTTTAGTGTCCACAAAAGGCTTTGGTAGCAGCGCCCAGATAAATTTTTCAGATAAGAAAAGTCGACTATAATTGTAATGTTAATCAAATATTTGTGTTTTTGTCGCTCCACCTTTTAATGTTTATATGTAATTATTTGAAATGGCACGCAAAGAAAGACAGAAAGGAAGAAAAAAGCGACGAGAATGGGAGAGAGTATGGAATAGAATAGAGTACATAGCATTTGTAATGGCAAACATACTAAAACACAAATAATTTGAATTGTTTTTTTTTTCGTGTTGTTGTGTTCTCTGTCGATGTTGTTGTTTGCTATCTTCTTCTGTCCTCAAGCAATGATTATCAAAAACTTTGTGTATTGGCTTGAAAATGTAGATATTCCCGCGCTTCCAATCACTATATCGGCTTCACTACTATATCGGTTGAGCGGACTTTTCATCTTCGATAAGAAAATGAAGACGGTGTTTATACAACGCGTAAATAAATAACAAATGAAAGAAATCATACAGAAAAATACACTCGTATACACATAAATTTACATTATCTTCGCCT